GACTTTGATACACCAGACATGCCATGTGGACTTTGATACACCAGACATGCCATGTAAACTTTGATAGCTGACACTTAATGCAGCCAAGACAAGTGTTGATTTGATAATGAGAGACACCCTTCTCTAACTAATGCATAATAGTTTCTGCTCAGAACAAAAGAAACACATGCAAGAAAAGGAATGTTGAAATTACCAAGAGCAACTTTGATTAATTGTGTGTCTGAGATGCTGTGCTGTCGTGAATATTTCCTGAGTTATTTAGCTGAGACAAGAAGCTAAATATACAAGCATGCCTCTCCGTGCCTCTGCCTCCCCATGGTACAAGCTTGGTAGCCCAATAAAACATGACTACAGGGAGTGAAATGAAATACACCAGCGTTCACTACACTGATTCTGATTCTGATGTCACTTGTTCACAACTTCATTTCGCCTGATGCATGTAGCGCTTGAACTGAAGTGGGTTCCTGGGTTCCATGAGGTCTTCTGTGGTATTAGAATTGGAAGCCTTGGACCCCTTGGCGTTTCTGCATAGTTTCAAACACTAAATGTTTGACAACTATTTTTTGTTGACATGATTGGACTGATGGACTGATGGACATGACTGGACATAATACCATCAGACACACACTGGCCAACATAATACCATCAGACACATACTGGCCAACATAATTCCATCAGACACACACTCACCACATAATACCATCAGACACACACTGGCCACATAACACCATCAGACACATTCTGGACACATAATACCATCAGACACACACTCACCACATAATACCATCAGACACACACTCACCACATAATACCATCAGACACACACTCACCACATAATACCATCAGACACACACTCACCACATAATACCATCAGACACACACTCACCACATAATACCATCAGACACATACTGGCCACATAATACCATCAGACACACACTCACCACATAATACCATCAGACACACAATCACCACATAATACCATCAGACACACACTCACCACATAATACCATCAGACACACACTCACCACATAATACCATCAGACTGACACTTAACACATAATACCATCAGACACATACACATCACATAATACCATCAGACACACAGTGGCCACATAATACCATCAGACACACACTCACCACATAATACCATCAGACACACACTGGCCACATAATACCATCAGACACACACTCACCACATAATACCATCAGACACACAGTGGCCACATAATACCATCAGACACACACTCACCACATAATACCATCAGACACATACACACCACATAATACCATCAGACACACACTCACCACATAATACCATCAGACACACACTCACCACATAATACCATCAGACAGACACTTAACACATAATACCATCAGACACATACACACCACATAATACCATCAGACACACACTCACCACATAATACCATCAGACACACACTCACCACATAATACCATCAGACAGACACTTAACACATAATACCATCAGACACACACTCACCACATAATACCATCAGACAGACACTTAACACATAATACCATCAGACACATACACACCACATAATACCATCAGACACACACTGGCCACATAATACCATCAGACACACACTCACCACATAATACCATCAGACACATACTGGCCACATAATACCATCAGACACACACTCACCACATAATACCATCAGACACACACTGGCCACATAATACCATCAGACACACACTCACCACATAATACCATCAGACACACACTCACCACATAATACCATCAGACACACACTCACCACATAATACCATCAGACAGACACTTAACACATAATACCATCAGACACATACACACCACATAATACCATCAGACACACACTCACCACATAATACCATCAGACACACACTCACCACATAATACCATCAGACAGACACTTACCACATAATACCATCAGACACACACTCACCACATAATACCATCAGACAGACACTTAACACATAATACCATCAGACACATACACACCACATAATACCATCAGACACACACTGGCCACATAATACCATCAGACACACACTCACCACATAATACCATCAGACACATACTGGCCACATAATACCATCAGACACACACTCACCACATAATACCATCAGACACACACTGGCCACATAATACCATCAGACACACACTCACCACATAATACCATCAGACACACACTCACCACATAATACCACCAGACACACAATCACCACATAATACCATCAGACACACAATCACCACATAATACCATCAGACACACACTCACCACATAATACCATCAGACACACAATCACCACATAATACCATCAGACACACAATCACCACATAATACCATCAGACACAAACTCACCACATAATACCATCAGACACACACTCACCACATAATACCATCAGACACACAATCACCACATAATACCATCAGACAGACACTTAACACATAATACCATCAGACACATACACACCACATAATACCATCAGACACACACTGGCCACATAATACCATCAGACACACACTCACCACATAATACCATCAGACACAAACAATCTGCATTGTAAGGTTAAGTATTAACTTCACCACTTACCTGACGCTGGAGCTATCTCATAGTCACACTAATCATCTTCCTTATCCCACCACCCAACCTCTCCCTCCAACAATGATAACTTCCTAAGTGGATTAACTTCTTCTCTCAACTCGATGTGTGAATATTTTTCCAGTGGACTTCATCCCCAGTAATCAAGCGAATCCATAAATCGATGATTGCCGCATGAAAACAGTGTCAGCACGAAAACAGGTACGTTATCGGCTAATATAAAGCACTTTCAGTCCTTACAAAATCAAAAACGTCAATAGAAAAATGCAACATTATGACTAAATTAGCCCTTTTTGAAAGGCTGTGATCAAATTTTCCTTTCACATACCTGATCATAAATGCTTAGTGATCGTTATGCATTTCATCTCGCACATTTCTGTCACCTGCCGGCCAATCACAGCTGACTAAAACAGAGCAGATGAATGAAAGCCATGTCAGGCATGATGGATGTTGAATATTGGATTAAGTCGTCAATTATCACAAATCCTAACTGTAAATATAATCAATTTCATGTCAATCAAGGTGCTGAGATACATTTAGCTGTATCAATATTCCTGCTTATCTTGGGGAGGCTCGGGTCTACTGGACACCGACTTTCAATTACCATTCGGAGACTTCGTTTGTGAGCATCAATATATCTAATAGGAACTTCATCCCAAACATATGCTTAAGAGAATCCTAACAAAGCTGACTTGATGAACAGGGATATGGCTGGCTTTGTCCAGCCTCAGAGACAAAGCCCCACAGCATTGATATTCCAACCTTGCCTCATCTTTAAATGCGCTATGGAAGATGACTATTAGGGAAGGCGTGCAATGGCATATGTTGATTGGCTGTTTTGACAGTTGTGTCAGATCTAGCGTACATTTGGAAGTGGCCACATTGTCAGCTGTACCTTGCTCCGTCCCCAGACGTAGAGGAAATACCACCTCAATGTGCTGCTTCAGTTGAAGTATAAAGTCAATTGTATTGTGTGTGTATTGTGTGTATTGTGTGTATTGTGTGTAGTGTGTGTGTGTGTGTGTGTGTGTGTGTGTGTGTGTGTGTGTGTGTGTGTGTGTGTGTGTGTATTGGGTGTGGGTGGGTGTATATTGGATGTGTGTATTGGGTGTGTGTATGTGTGTAATGGGTGTGTGTATGTGTGTGTGTATTGGGTGTGTGTATGTGTGTATTGGTTGTGAGTATGTGTGTATTGTGTGTGTGTATGTGTGTATGTGTATTGTACACCTATAACTCCAGGATTCCATGTGTGAACTGTACAGGTACATGGGATGTAGGCATTATAAGTGGGATGCAGGCATTATAACTAGAAAGTAGGCATTATAACTAGAAAGTAGGAATTATAACTTGGATGTAGGCATTATAACTGGGATGTAGGCATTATATAACCAGAAAGTAAGCATTATAACTAGAAAGTAGGCATTATAACTAGAAAGTAGGCATTATAACTTGGATGTAGGCATTATAACTGGGATGTAGGCATTATATAACCAGAAAGTAAGCATTATAACTAGAAAGTAGGCATTATATCTAGAAAGTAAGCATTATAACTGGGATGTAGGCATTATAACTGGGATGTAGGCATTATACCTGAGATGTAGGCATTATAACTGGGGTGTAGGCATTATAATTAAGATGTAGGCATTATAACTGGGATGTAGGCATAACTGGGATGTAGTAATATTGGGGCACAGCCTACAGGAATCCCGGCACTTCTCCTCTTTAGTTGATATGTTTACTTTACTGAATGAATACAACACACAAAAAATGCCTTTATTTTCCATCAATCAGGAAACTGGTCTTAAGACATCACCATGAAACAAATTTTTAAACATATCTAAGGAATTCTTTGCAAGAAAAAAAGAAAACTTGTGAAAAAAGAAAATCTGTTTCTAGGTCAAACGTAGAAAAAACCACCCAGACAACCCTACAAAGCCACCTACAGTTGTACAAAAATATTCAACAAATGTTTCCATGGGGCTTGGCAATCATTGTCACAATGTGACACAGTAAGTGGGAAGTATGACCGTATTCACTGATTTGCTACTAAATCCCATCCTCCCTCCTCTGCATGCATATATACAGGCATGTACTCGCGTAGTTACATGGAAGATACAATAAATACATAAATATGTCCTATTACTTTGTCTCTACTGAATACATGCATCATAGTCTGTGCTTGCTGTGCTGGACACTGAGTAGACAAGACAGTTAGATGTGCTCACACAAAATATATTGCAGAATGAACAAAGAGACACACAGGAGAGATGCAACTGTGAAACTGCTGGATGTAAAGAACTTCTGACATCAAGTTATAGACGAGGTTACAAACTGGTTGTTTTGAATGATAGCTTCTTAAATCCTTACTTATCTGCAGCAATGGGCTTACCTGTCATCCAGCTGATCGTTACCCAAGGCGAGGTTACTCTCCAGGAGAGATGCTGGTTCTACAAACACAAGATAAACAACTCGTAATGATGAGAAACTGTACATTTATGAAAGGGATGTGTCTTAAAACACTTTTCTCAGAATTTATTTGACAGGGCTTTGGAATGAAAGTATCTCTCTGAATATTGATAATGTGTAAGTTTGTCTGAGATACGTTACTTCTCTAACTCTCATAGAGATGCTAAAGGACACTTCCCTGATAAACACTACCTCCACTAAACATCCACCAGGGATAAACATGTCAAATCTTGACGGACTCGTTCTTTTTTCTACCAGCTTGTTATTTCTGAAATTCTGAAATGAATTGTTGACAATAAACTGACAGGCAAAAGAAACAATACCAAAACTTAGAAGGTCCAAAGTTTCAAGAAGACGCTGCATAATAAAAAAACTTTTGATTTTGTAATTCAGCTAAACGCAGCCAATATTGCTGTTTGTGAAAAAGTTTATTTGACTGCTTAAAGACAAAAAATGACATTAAACGATAAAAAATTCACATGCAGAGCAGCCTCCAGTCGGTATAAGTTTAACCACAGTAACGTGGACACTTGGCAGAGGAATTTACTAAAACACAAAACAACCATACTGACAGTATCACCTCAGCAGACAGAAACGGCCATCAGTATGATATAGAAGGGGGCTACCCACAGTCTTGTGTCAACAACCTTAGACTGACAGTATCACCTCAGCAGACAGAAATGGCCATCAGTATGATACAGAAGGGGGCTACCCACAGCCTTGTGTCAACAACCTTAGACTGACAGTATCACCTCAGCAGACAGAAACGGCCATCAGTATGATACAGAAGGGGGCTACCCACAGTCTTGTGTCAACAACCTTAGACTGACAGTATCACCTCAGCAGACAGAAATGGCCATCAGTATGATACAGAAGGGGGCTACCCACAGCCTTGTGTCAACAACCTTAGACTGACAGTATCACCTCAGCAGACAGAAATGGCCATCAGTATGATATAGAAGGGGGCTACCCACAACCTTGTGTCAACAACCTTAGACTGACAGTATCACCTCAGCAGACAGAAATGGCCATCAGTATGATATAGAAGGGGGCTACCCACAACCTTGTGTCAACAACCTTAGACTGACAGTATCACCTCAGCAGACAGAAATGGCCATCAGTATGATACAGAAGGGGGCTACCCACAGCCTTGTGTCAACAACCTTAGACTGACAGTATCACCTCAGCAGACAGAAATGGCCATCAGTATGATATAGAAGGGGGCTACCCACAACCTTGTGTCAACAACCTTAGACTGACAGTATCACCTCAGCAGACAGAAATGGCCATCAGTATGATACAGAAGGGGGCTACCCACAACCTTGTGTCAACAACCTTAGACTGACAGTATCACCTCAGCAGACAGAAATGGCCATCAGTATGATACAGAAGGGGGCTACGCACAACCTTGTGTCAACAACCTTAGACTGACAGTATCACCTCAGCAGACAGAAATGGCCATCAGTATGATACAGAAGGGGGCTACCCACAGCCTTGTGTCAACAACCTTAGACTGACAGTATCACCTCAGCAGACAGAAAGGACCATCAGTATGATACAGAAGGGGGCTACCCACAACCTTGTGTCAACAACCTTAGACTGACAGTATCACCTCAGCAGACAGAAATGGCCATCAGTATGATATAGAAGGGGGCTACCCACAACCTTGTGTCAACAACCTTAGACTGACAGTATCACCTCAGCAGACAGAAATGGCCATCAGTATGATACAGAAGGGGGCTACCCACAGCCTTGTGTCAACAACCTTAGACTGACAGTATCACCTCAGCAGACAGAAATGGCCATCAGTATGATATAGAAGGGGGCTACCCACAACCTTGTGTCAACAACCTTAGACTGACAGTATCACCTCAGCAGACAGAAATGGCCATCAGTATGATACAGAAGGGGGCTACCCACAACCTTGTGTCAACAACCTTAGACTGACAGTATCACCTCAGCAGACAGAAATGGCCATCAGTATGATACAGAAGGGGGCTACGCACAACCTTGTGTCAACAACCTTAGACTGACAGTATCACCTCAGCAGACAGAAATGGCCATCAGTATGATACAGAAGGGGGCTACCCACAGCCTTGTGTCAACAACCTTAGACTGACAGTATCACCTCAGCAGACAGAAAGGACCATCAGTATGATACAGAAGGGGGCTACCCACAGCCTTGTGTCAACAACCTTAGACTGACAGTATCACCTCAGCAGACAGAAATGGCCATCAGTATGATACAGAATGGGGCCACTCACAGCCTTGTGTCAACAACCTTAGACTGAGCGTGCCTGTCAAATCACCAGACTGATGACTTGTCTCCACCAAACTGGCAGACCATCAGGGACCAGGCCCACCAAGGACCGCTACCTCAGGAACAGATTATTGATGATGACATCAGCTGCAACCACCCTTTGTCTTCCAATCAGTTATAAAACAGTGTCTTGGAGATTGACACTGCATGAACCATCCCTTGGAGCTGCCAACATCAACATCAGGGATGCTTATGAGCCACACACTAGTGGCAGAACAGGAACTAGCAAAGACATCTCTATTCTGATGAGAATCTGTTTCAACTCTGAAGAACAGATAAGAGAATTTGAGTACACCGCCAACGAGTGAAATGGGAGGCACACTGTTCTGTTGAGGAGGTTGAACTGTAGGGTAGATGCAGCACCATGGTGTTGTCATGTCAAAGCCGATGCCAATCTCACTGCCCAACACAATATCATCCAGGTACTTTGTCCCTGTAGATTCCCAACATCCTGTTCTTGACAGACAACATTCTGCACACCAAACACATCAATGTGTATATCTGGCTTGCCAGATCAGAGGACGACCAGTTCCTCCACTCACAAGACAAGGCAATGCTCAGGCACAGGTTGAGGAATGGCATAAAATTCAATCAGCAATCATCCGATGCGTGTCATTCCCAGTTTGGCCAAGAGTTTTCGCACATTTACATTCCAATGGAGGACATACCCATTTTTGACTGATCCGTGTGATTTTAGCTCTTCAGTGTGGCTGTGTTTGAGGGCAAAAATAACTTGGCCTGACCTTCATAATGATGCCCATGGGCTCATAACCTGACATAATTACCTGTTAAAATGTTCATTACCTGGGATAATTACCTGTTAAAATGTTCATTACCTGGGATAATTACCTGTTAAAATGTTCATTACCTGGGATAATTACCTGTTAAAATGTTCATTACCTGGGATAATTACCTGTTAAAATGTTCACTACCTGGGATAATTACATTTAGTACTAGCTGCAATTGTTATTGCAGGTATATCATCTTATGTTTACAATTTTATTTACTTCCTGTTGCGTCATTGCACATGCGTGTCCTCGGATGTTACGTAACCATCTCGTGGTGACGTCATCACTGCTTTTTCAATTATGTAACTGTCTCTACTCATCACTTTCGCACAGCCATTTATCCCGTGGTACATCGCTTTCTCTCCGCTTTTACGCTTTTCTCTCGTCCTTTATTCCTACATTCGCTGACATTTAGTCATACTCTTCGCACAACCGTTGATAGATCTATCTATAGTTATGCCCGCAAAAAGAAGAGCTGCCGTAAACCATCATTTGGTCAGATGGGCCAAACAGGCACGAGTTGTCACCCCACCCCAAAGAGAGGTTAACAGGATCCCCATCATGCCAAGTGCTACAGCGGTGAGTTACAATATTCCATAACAAATAATTGTGTGTCAATACCATCTAGCGTTTTGGCTTCCACCGCGCCCGCGCCCAAACAAACTGATCAAGTTTTGCATAATCATCAAAACGCATCAGTAGCGCAGCAGCTGCAACAAATTTGGGCGCTCTTGGGGCAATTGGGGGCCAATAACTTTGGCCAACAACGTAGCATCGACAGTGCTGATATTCCCACGCATTCTCTCAATGCTTGCGGGCCTAGTGGGGTTAACCCGCCTTTTCATAACGAGGCTCTCGGTGACGTGTCAATACTGAACACGTCAACCAATTAAAATCGTCCGTTGGGGGAATCCCTCGTCTTCAACTCCGAGTTTATCGATGCACATGTCAAACAACAAACCAGGGAAAAGGTATGGCGAGGTGAGTATGTGGACATCGGGACACGCTGGCACCGAGGAGAGCGAAGCTCTTACTATGGTCACCGATACTGTAGGTAAGGTGCTATTTAAACCTGTCAAAGCGCCAACGAGAAAAATAACACTGGGAAGCTGGAAATCTGCTTTTCATATTTACATGAACATATACCTTGCCAAACATTTCAGTCTACGGATGGTGCAAAGCCTATTATCGTACATGGAGACAATCCGTTCAGCGGCACTTAGATTTGGACTGGATGCCTGGTGTCTATACGACCAGCAATTCCAACATAGGATGGCTAGAGATCCTCTACGACAATGGGACAAAATTGACGGTGAGCTACGGCTAAAATACATGATCCCGTAGTCGGGGCGTCAACAGGTAGGTGGTTCATTCGGTCAGCTGACTGCTTCAAGTGTTTCAGACCCTGCACTTAACCTATGCTACGCATTCAACAAACCTCATTGGTGTAAAAAGTACAGCTGCGTGTACTCTCACATATGCAGCAAGACCGGCGAAACATCTCACGGGGCGTCAACCTGCTTTCAAGGACAGGGGGTCACACGACCCCCCCTATCAAACTATAGCTCAATCTCATGCTTTAATGGCTCAAGCCCACGCTTTAATGGCCCAAGGCAGTCAACCAGAGGAACTAGAGGTAAGGTTGTGTCGTTATTCTCAGTTAAACGCAGAGGATGCGCAATATTTGCTCGATGGTTTTACATTTGGTTTCCAACTCGAGTTTCAAGGTACACGCCATAGTCGGCTAGCAGGCAATTTACAATCCGCAACCCATAAAGATAGGAGAAACATTGTTAGACAAAAGCTTAAAAAAGAACTCGATCTTAACAGAATGGCAGGACCGTTTATCACTATGCCCTTTGTTAACTTGCAA